ATTTTGAAAAATCGAAAATAGAAAACGATCTGAAAATAGCAAAGAGAACATAAATAACTCAATTACAAACAAATAGCGTTACTTGATAACTCATCATGTAGATATAAATTGCTATGTAAAGATGGCACAATCAATGTCCCAAAGTCAAGACTCTCCTTCACATTACGCATTTATTCTCATCTCCCCAACCCTTTCCCCCATAAACATCATGACTTTACTGTAAAAACCCGGGCCCTTTTTCGTCCACAAGAAAATCCTCACTCTTCTTCTACTCTCCATCCCCAACCCACTCACAAAACGAAGCAGAAATTAGAAGGGAAAAAGAATTATGGAACAATCATTTTTTCCGACAACCACCACTCGATCGGAGGCTTTGAGGTGGCTGGCAATCGCCGAAAAATTGTTGTCAGCGCGTGATTTGCTTGGAAGCAAGTCATTTGCGACCCGGGCTCGGGATTCTGACCCGACCCTTTTGCAGTCGGAGCAAGTCCTCGCTGTGACTGACACGCTCCTCGCCGGTGACCGGCGGATCAATAATAACCAGCTTGATTGGTACTCGATTCTTCAAGCACCCCTCCAGTGCCATGACTCGGAGCTTATTGCAAATCAGTACCGCCGACTAACCCTTTTATTGAACCCTCAGAAGAATAATTTCCCCTTTGCGGACCAGGCGTTTCGACTGGTGGTGGACGCGTGGTCGGTGCTCTCTAACCCATCGACGAAATCGGTGTACGATAAGGAACTGGGTTTCCATCTGCAGCAACAGCGCGACCCGTTTAGCTCTGCGTCGGCTCATGAGCATTTGACTATTCCTTCAATGCAGCAGAACTTCATTTTCTTCGGAGGAAGCAGCAGTAGTGCAAGCCCTCATGTCACTCAACCACCGGTACATGCTAGCAGTACTATTTCTGCGAGTCATATCCCTCAAGCACATGTCGTAGCTCCCGATCCGATAACTTTTGGGTCGAGTCCTGAACAAGTGAGTAAGCAACAAGTACATGGCTTTATTAATTTTTCTTCTGGTGGTAATATAGCTTTTGGGTCTGGGTCGGGATCTGTTTCGACTCAAGAACAAGTGAATAAACAGCCACAACAAAGTTACCCTAGTTTTATTGGGAATGTAGCTTCTGCGTCTAGGTCAACTCAGGAACAAGTGAATAAGCAGCCACAGCCAGAGAAAAATTATTCAAATGTTACAGATAAAAGTCATAAAACTAGTCAGGATACTGCTGCTGATGAGAACATAGAAGAGGTGGAGAGAGTGGATGCACCCGCAGGTGATGGTGTGCCGACTTTCTGGACTGCGTGTCCTTATTGTTATCACATGTACGAGTATCCCAGTGTTTACACTGACTGTACTCTGCGGTGTCAAAAATGTAAAAGAGCGTTTCAGGCAGTGGCTATTCCATCGCCACCGCCAATCGCAGATGGACAAGAGCAGTACTTCTGTTGCTGGGGATTTTTACCGTTGGGCGTTTCAATGGCAAATTTGGAGAAAAATCGAGCTGCAGCTTCGCAGTGGTCCCCGTTTTCGCCTATGTTTACTTCCCCACAAATGCCGAATGCAAATAATAAGGGTGGACGGAAGAGCTCAGCTCCTAGAGTATATATTGATGATGATGATGATGATATTGTGGAACTCTCAAACTCGAGTGGGTCTGATGATGATTGGAAGAATGGTACGGAGAAGAAGAAAAAGAAGAAGAAAATGAATAGTGTTAAAGGAAAAGGAGCTGGCAGGAAGCCAAATAAAAATGTGAAAAAAGCACAAGTTGATAAAGCTAAAAATGTGAATGTACAAGATAAATTTGTAGCTTCGCTGGACGTGGAGACGCCTAGTAAACCAACTGGTGAGCCGAGTAAGAAAGGGTCTGCGGCTAATGCACGGAAGCAACCTGGGAGAGTTGCAAAGAACTTTGGGAAGTTGGATTTGAATGTGGAATTTAGCAATGAAGTTGAGGAGCCTGCTCCCAGGGTGAACCAAGGAAATGGATCAGGACGCGGAGAGGATGACAACATTGAAGGGAATGGGTTTTTCGAGGGTCTTGATGAATTCCTAAGCAGCCTTCCGATTCTTAATGTTGTAGGTGATGACAAGGTTGTCAAGGCTGCTTAGTGAATTAATACCCTTTTTTTGTTGTAATTGTAGGCTATAATAATGCCGTCGATGCTGCTTAGGATAGCAAGACCCTTGTAATTTTCGACTTGTAGTAATGGATGATGTAGACCAACTCATGCATTTCGTTTGATGGTTTTATTGTGGTCCAGTTCAATATATATATGTTCCATGTTGAGTGTTTTTCGATGTGTGGATGTCAAAATTAAACTATTATTTTCAGTCGATTCTATTTGTTAACTACGAAGTAGCTCAACCAGGTTGTAGGCTTTGAATTTAGTACAACAGGAAATTAGACGATAACGTGTCTTTCCTTTTCTGCTTATGATTTGTGTTTATTTAGCTTATAACATAATCTCCCAGTTGGTTCTTATCTTTCTGCTTCGAGCAGGGTAAGTGACTTATTGGTATGTCCATCTGCTAATTCAGGTATATGGATTTTTTCCTCAGTCAGTGAAAATTCAGTGAATTTACTATAATAATTGATATTTTCCACTTAGCTTGAGTTTGGTGCTATACTTCTTACAGCTGCAGAATCTGTTGATTTTGGAAATGTGCTTGAAAAATTGCTCTTGAGGTGATTTTAATTCTTGGTGGGATACATTGTGTGCTAGGAGTGCTATTTTGTTAAAGAAATGCTAATTGTGGATTTTACTTTCGATCTTCTTTGACAGATGAAGTGGCAAATCAGATTGAAGAGAACGTTGGACATCATTGTATCCGTAATTGTTTCCATTGGTTCCACAATTTATATGTTGTTACGTGAGCTAGTATTTGATTGTGTTCGCCTTTTTATGTCATTATGAGTGCATTGCTTCTTTCAATGTACCAAGTACTCTTTGGATCCTCTTTCTTTTCGGCTGCTTGCAAACCTGCAGGTTGATATGTTCAGTTTTCTCTGTTGATAACTGTGAACCAGGGACGTGCTTTCTTCAGTGACATGAGGCCATCTTTCTGAATACTCAAATATTCTCATACCTCTAATTTCTCACGTATGAAAGTTGTTGGGGAAGGGGGGGGGGGTGTTGATGGGAGGAACAAGTTTTTCAGGTGTTTCCTTGAATATTGAGTGTGTGCAGGCAGGCAAAATGGTTTGGTAATCCTAATATGGACTCATTCTCAAGGGGAGAGTTAAAATAGCCGTCAATATCTTCCATCAACCAGCATCATCAAAGAATGCATATTCTTTTAAAGGGGCAACATCACTGGACTGGCTCTGGAATCTGTTGTGACTTTATTGGGAAATTCTTAAGAGACCGGGAGTAGCATAGTATGGGAGAAATTATGGGTTTGACATTGCGGTAAAGAAGATCGAAGAGATGTGGAATGAGAAGAGGCTAAAGAAATGTCATCATCTCTTTTATTTCTTGAAATCTCTAGCAAACGACATTTTGGAATGTGAATTCTCGAATTTTGGGAAGAAATCGTGTTCTCCTTTTTGTGGGAACTTCAGTCAAGAAAAATTCTCTGCATGTTGAAAATATATTTAGTTTGTTCTTCACAGCTGCTGTGGAGGCATTCACTCCTGCATGTTTTCCAGTAGCTTTCAGCCTTTCGTTAGAAAACTTAGAAACTCACTGGTGTTGGAGAACGAAGATGATTCCAGGGCTGTGAAAGCTTGGTATTCACAGAAGGTAACTAATTTTTTTTAATCTGTTTATCCTATGGGTATGGCAATACATTTTGCATCAGAATGAGTGGTTCACTGGTAAGAAAATGCTATCCCAAACAAGCAACGTTACTAAAACCTTTACAGAGACCTGCTTTTGTTTATGATTAGGGGAGGTTTTTGAGATATTCTATTGCCGAATTCTACCTTGATTGATCACAGGATTTCAATGTATTGAAGACGGCGACATCAAGAAATACCAAACAAGACATTTTTAGATCATGGAGAAGTATTTCAAACAATTCAAGACGTAACAAATGATGAGAAGTCTTTGTTCGCCTGGGTAATGCTAATGATAAAAACTGCATCATGTTCTCATCTTAACATTTTTAATCCGCAATTCCTCGAGGTTCCTTGGAGGAAAATTTAGCATTTTTTTTTTTTTTTATACCGTTATAAAGGTCAAAACCAACCACCCTTATTGACTAAGAAATACAGAATTACGTATTTATCTTTTTGACATCTAATACACTAATTTTGAAAGAAGGATATTTATGGAAAATCAACTAATTTTGAGTTAGCCCCCATTTGGTTTTGATTTTTCAAGCCTAAAGATCAATTTTGTAACTGTTACTTAACATAGTAAGTCGTCATTTTTTATTTCGTCACTTACAGGTGAGATCCACTTTTCTCTTTTAACGATTAAAAAATTGATTCTCATATCAGTACCAATCAGGTCCTTAGACTTTTACGGTTGGAAGGGGCCCACTTTCAGTCCAACGGTCCAATTTTTAATGAAAAATTGGTGAGAATTTCCTCCAAACAATTTTTAATGAAAAACTTTTTATTTGACTTTAGTTGTAAATTTTTCCTTTAGAAATTGTATAATTAATTAATTGCAGAAATTATTAAATAAATATAGTACTTTATGATTTTAGATATTTGATATATATATTAAACAATTCTTAGAATGATTAAAAATTTAAAATAAAAATTAAAAAAAAAAATTTTAGACGTAGGCTCGTAAAGTTTGTTCTCCAAGCTTAGCTATGCTTTACTTTTTTCAGAATACATATTTTTACATCGGTTTAAGTTTAACAACCTTTTTGACAGTTTGGAGTAATATTGCAAATTGTTGAAAAGATTTTAGACCAAATTGTTGAAAAGTAAAAGAAAGTAATGAGATTGTCAATGTACACAAAGGTTGGGACCAATGTTGTAATTTATCCAATTTTGTGTTCCTTAAGCGCTACGATATTGTCCCACGGTACAAATTCAAATTCCCCAGCTTGCTTGCGTCCATCCTCCGCCAGCTCGCTTTAAACCCAAAACCCCGAATCAGCGTAGGGTTTGATTTTTTCAGTCGTCTCCATTTTTATTAATTTTTTAGATCAATTTATCAATATGAGTGGAGATCAAGTGGTTTTTTCTACTAACGCCGCAGCGGCGCCACTGGGTCACTCGGTGATTCCGACGGTGAACAAGCTGCAAGATATCTTCGCCCGGGTCGGGAAAGAACCCACAATTGAGCTTCCGCAGGTGGCGGTGATTGGAAGCCAGAGCAGCGGGAAATCCAGCGTCTTGGAGGCACTAGTTGGCCGTGATTTCTTGCCCCGGGGCAATGACATATGTACGCGCCGTCCGCTAGTGCTACAGCTCGTCCAGACCAAGAGGAAGGCTGGCGGGACTGAAGAGGAGTGGGGGGAGTTCTTGCATTTACCGGGGAAGAAGCTATTTAATTTCGACGAAATTCGCAAGGAGATTGAGGTGATTTTTGGCAGAATTGAATTTTCACATTTAGCGCCTTCTTTACGTGTTTGGGAGTTAGTGATTCATTATTGCGAAACTTGAGAAAAGCAATTATGCATCTATTGTGGATATTAAAAAAAAAAAGAAAAAAAGTAAAGAATTGAATGATGAAAACTTAAAAAGAATCAGATGAATTTTATAAATACTGGGTAATTTGCCAATAAACCTAGGGATTTTGCCCTTTCCCATAACGAGCTGTTTTCAAGGATAATTACACATTTTACGCTAAGTTTTAGCCTGCCTTTTGCTTCTTGATGTGTCCCAATACTATCAATATATGGGCTTTCTGGCAAGTTTCGCTTGAGGTTTTATTTACTAATGAGATAGACCTATAAAAAAAATTAGTATTAAGATAGGATTTTGAGAATTTGGACTTTCTCCATAGTCTCAGAAGCTTCTGTAATGCAGTGGAACTATTCAATAACTGATCATTGGCAATGATATTAGGCTGAAACAGAGAGAGAAGCTGGAGGAAACAAAGGCGTTTCAGACAAGCAGATTCGTTTGAAGATTTTCTCGCCAAATGTTCTCGATATTACTCTAGTGGATTTGCCTGGCATAACAAAGGTCCCTGTTGGCGATCAGCCTTCTGATATCGAAGCACGTATTAGAAAAATGATAAATTCATACATTAGACCTCCAAGTTGCTTGATATTAGCTGTTACACCCGCAAATTCTGACTTGTCTAACTCGGATGCTCTTCAACTGGCTAAAACTGCTGATCCTGGGGGTAGGCTCTGCACTTAATATCTTCATCTACCAAAGAAACCTATTACCAGGATGTTATTGCACTTGGATTCTCTAGCTCATGAATAAACTTTTCTATTGGCAGGGTCTCGAACAATTGGTGTAATTACTAAGGTGAAATTTGTTTGTTAAGAAGTATAGTTGTTTGTGTTGCTCTCTTATTTTTTTTCCCCTTAAGACAACTATGCATTGTTTTCGTTGTTGCATCAGTTGGATATCATGGATAGAGGTACTGATGCTTGCAAAATTCTGCTTGGAAAAGATGTTCATCTTCAACTTGGTTACGTAGGTGTTGTGAATCGTAGTCAAGAGGTAATATTTCAGCTTCAGATTGATGGAATATTGATGCGAGTTACGTTTTATTATATCTTGTCAAAGTGATGGTCATACTTTCTAAACTCAAGCGGTTTGCAAGTAAATTAGTACATTTATTACTGCCCTCTTCTCTCGACAATTTCAATCGCAAATTTGGAATTTATCTTATGTTTAATGATGTCCGTATGAGTGACATAAAAATGGTAGCTGTTTTATTGTGCCCTTTCTGGTTAATTTGGTTCACTAGACACATGCTTTATATGTAGATTTGTGTCTTTCTATTTAGTACACAATCAAAAGCTGAGGTAATGGAGATGGCTAAATGAGTATGTGAAATTATCTTCTCCTTTGCAACACATTATGTACATGTATGCCTTTCTCAAATAAGATTGTCAACTATCTTCTCAATTGCACTATATTATATATGATGTGTTGTCTTTCTTGAATGATTTATTAATCAAATATTTTATTATTTTTAGAAACCATTTTTCCCTGTTCAGGAGTGATCTACATCTCAGTACATTTATTTTTGTTTGATTACCCGAGAATTGAGACTCCTCTGTCCGCTTATGTTATCTTTCAAATTTTCCTTGCTTTGGTGCCAGCATCACCATTATATGCAGAAAATTGTTTCGTTCTATGATTTGTTTTGGATTTTTTTGGCAATTTCGATGCAGATCAGTATTAATTCAAACTACAAAATATAGTCAAGCAAATGACTTGTAAGATGCTAAATTGATGACGATGTTAATGTTTCAACAATTTTGATGGAATTTAGCATTTGCTAAGGCTACAAATATGTGATCAAGTAGATGATTGTTAGAAGCTGAATGGATGATGATGTCCTCAGAAATTTAGTTGGAGCAAGAGTTAACATTTAAAAGGCGATACTCTGTAACTGCATGTTTGTAAATAATGGAAAGGTCAGGCTCAAATTTAATCCAAATTTGAAAATTAGCACTGCTGTACAGTGAGAGCTTGAGGAACTAGACTTTATTTGGTACTTGGAGAAATCTGAAATCCAGTTATCTTTTTATTCCCTTTCAGATTCCCAAACAGAAACAGGAAAGAGAATTGATAAGAAATGAAAATTCTCTGCGCTCCATGAAATTAACTTTTGTACTATTATATTAAAATATGAATACTCCAGTTTGCGAGATCAATGACAATAAATTATAGTCAGATAAATTTATTTGTAAATTTATTTATGCAATGGAGAAATAGGGAGAAGTTCGGGTTATTTGTCCTAGCTGCCTATCTTCTAGTTAATTCCGTGGCGTAACTTAGTTTAGCTATCCTGTATATATACCTAATTTCTAGTTGCTTGTTGTGATTGAGATTCGCTATTTAGAAATATAAATAAATTAAAAGAAGGTTGATGTTTTTCCTTTTCAAGAATTCTACACACCATTTTTTTCAACTTTGTTATTTTCTAATTCCTGCTTGAGAAATATATGCAGATCGATTGAAGGAACATGATGTGAGATCACAATGATGTTGAGGAACCCAAGGGGACATGTTTAATGACATTGGGGAAATTTAAAAATACTTAAAAATCATAACTGACTAGAAAACTGTGTTTTTGTATAATATTTGGTTGCAGAAGTTATTGGTTATTTTAAGGCCATGTTACGTCTATATATTTCTTACTAGTTGGGCCATACCTTCCATAAACAGGATATTCAGATGAACCGCAGTATCAAAGATGCTCTTATAGCCGAGGAGAAGTTCTTTAATAGTCATCCGGTATGACCTTAATCATTTTCATTATTAGCTTATATCTTGATTGTCTTTGGCTTGTCACTCAGATCATTAACTTTCATTTTTATAGGCATATAGGGATCTTGCAGATCGTTGTGGGGTTCCTCAGTTGGCAAAGAAGTTAAACCAGGTAGATATTTTGAGACTGAGTTGCAATTACTTTCCTGTAATATATCTTCAGAAATACATTGCCCTTGTTTGACACATTACATGCATGCCATTATTGCATATTTTGCCTACCTACTCCCACACACCCAGATGCCATTCTGTTCATGTGCATAATTTTGGCTGCATGATGCACTCACGTGCATTTATATCTTGGAGATGTGTATGCACGCAGTAGAATGCAGTCTTGGACTGATGTCTTTTATACCCATTTTACCGTATAAGTTGCTCTAAGTAACATCTCAATGCAACAAAACTTTATTATGATATGAAGTGTTTTTTACTTGCTTGTGGTCACTATCATTTTCACAAGCATTTAATTTTTTTTTAATATTTTGTTAGTTTGTGAGGTAATGAGATACAAGCTTTCTTCTATTATTCTTATGATCAATATTATGCTTCATCAGAAAAATGTGACGAACAAAAACTGAAGTTTGCTGCTTGTTCTGCAGATTCTGATACAACACATCAAGACAGTTCTTCCTGTATTGAAGTCACGAATTAGTACCGAACTGGTTTCTGTTGCAAAGGAGCATGCTAGCTATGGAGAGATTTCCGAATCAAAAGTTTGTTCTAATATCTCGTTGGATGATTTTATTCTGGAATTCATTTAATAGCAGATCACCTCATTTATTTGGTTCAATCCTTTTGTACTTTGGCATTTTCAAAATAAAGAACTGTTTTTACAGGGGCAGACCATGAGGATGATAAATAGTTCATAACTCTCGCTTTACCTTTTCCTTCCCTCACCGATTTATTTCCCGGAATACGCAAATATTAGCAATTGCAAATGCCTGCAATTCATAGAATGATCTGGTTTCACATTTTAAAAACAAAGAACTATTTTGAATCTTGATTATTGATCTCACATTTTTGTGATGCAGGCTGGTCAGGGAGCATTGATACTGAACATTCTTTCAAAATACTCTGAAGGTATATGACCTTCTCTCCCCCCCCCCGGGCCCCGGTGGAGAATATCATGGTTCCAATTAAATGTATTTTGTATTTGATTGATTTCTTGCTGAAGTTTCCAACACATTCACTGGATGCCACATCCTTCTAAAGGATTTTAGTCAATGCCGGGTCTTAATAATGTTGTTTCGGTTTTCTGTGTTGCAAACAGCATTCTCTTCGTTGATAGAAGGAAAAGATGAAGAAATATCAACTTCTGAACTGTCTGGTGGAGCAAGAATCCACTACATCTTCCAGAATATATTTGTGAAGAGCTTGGAGGTATGTATCATTGATGTGAATGTACTGGACATTGATATTTTAGATTTTTCTGAAACTGATATTCTAGCGAAAATGATTGAGTTTTTTATTTTACTTTTCCATCTTCTGCCCTTTTTGGTCAAAGTAACCTTTCAGTACTCCATGCATTGTTTTTATTAAACTTCTATTAAAATGGAGATATTGTTCTTCCCTGAAGAAATGAGGATACATGTACAGATAGAAGTAAAAAGGTGATCTAGAGGACTTCATTTGGCAAGGGAAACAGAAGAATTTCTTGGCGAGATAGTTGTATCTTCTTCCGTTCATTTTTCTCTTATTTGCCTGTGCTTTTCAGTGTCATCTCTACAATATTAATAAACATTAAGTTTAACCAAATATGAATTTTATATGCAGGAGGTAGATCCATGTGAGGGTTTATCTGATGATGACATCCATACTGCCATCCAAAATGCTACTGGCCTTAAATCTGCATTGTTTATACCACATGTATGTTCTTATTTTGCTATGTAATCTTTGATCTTTAAAATAATCTGAATGCTTTATCCTTTAGTATTTTGGCCTTTCAATCTGAGTCAGCATGAAAGTAAATACAAAACGAAACATGCAGGTTCCATTTGAAGTTCTTGTTAGGAGACAAATAGCTCGTTTGTTGGATCCAAGTCTTCAATGTGCTCGGTTTATTTATGATGAGCTAGTAAAGGTTCTTTTTTTTTTTTTTTGGGACAAATTTCTAGAGTCTCATGGGTGCAATACATCTTAGTGTCTGGACATTAACCTGAATGGTTTCTTTCAGATGAGCCATCGTTGTATGTTGAATGAATTGCAGAGGTTTCCTGTCCTGAGAAAGCGCATGGATGAGGTTACAGGAAACTGTTTACAAGACGGCCTTGAGCCATCAGAGACAATGATAGGACACATTATTGAAATGGAGGTATACTTGCACACAGATAATCAATTTTTCCGTGTAGCTTCTCATGTTTAATTTTGCTCCAATATCAAATAGATCTATAAGCGAGAGGATCAATGTAGATTCACTTTTCCTTCGAGTATTATAGTTAGATGAGTCCACTTCCAATCATTTTGGTGATTCTATGATTCCTGTTACTCTTTTGACGATTTCTGGAAACTATAGCCTTCCCCACTTGCCCACCCTCTCCCCCCTCAACCTTGAGCAGTCTTCTTTACGTGCACATTTTTACCCTCGGTTTGTGTTTCAAATATGCAATGGATCTGTCAGTGTCCCCTATTCATTTCTTGCCACATCGTCTCCATTTTTGCTGTTCTTTCAAAATAATGTATGTATCTTAGGCTACTTTTTCCAACAAGTAAATCTTTATTAAATCATTGACTAAAGTGTGACCATTTACACAAGGAGAGTAGAGTTAAAACCAACGTTCTCATCCATATACACACACTTTGCATCCAGTCTCAAACACATGTTTCTCAAAATCGAGATCCTGTACTCAATCCGAGAAGGTTCAAGAACAGAGTGACGCTCAAAGTTAAGAAATAGTTGTCAAATTATTTCCTGCCTGCTTGTTTTTGAGATTTCTCTTCATAATATATGAAATTCTCTATTATCTGGAGTTCTTTAAGATAGCTATTGATTGTTCGGGATAGCTTAATTGCTAAAAAGTTGAGGTCAAAGTTGATAATAATTAATTTTTACCTCATATTTCATGCCCACAACATTTATCGACTTTTTCAATTTTTATCAAAATCTGCTAAAACTTATATAAAAAGCTTTGTCAAACATAAGTTCTAGGTATCTTTCTTAGCTATTGTATTTGTTAATGCCATTGCATTCTTTTCTCTTTTTCTTGTTTTTGTTTTGGATGCAATATTTTTGCAGCACTATCCACAAGTTTCAGCTGTATTGACATTATATATGACGAAGGATTGGGGCCTTTTATTCCTTTATAATTTTTAACCTTTTACTGGTGTGGAGCCTGAATTTGACTAGTTTTTGGACTGCTAATACATGTATGATGGAGAAACAACGTGCAGAATAGGCTTGTAGAGTCTGTTATATTATTTTCTGTAGAGCTTTTGTATCGTAGAAATATGACTTGCTTTATGCATAAATTTGGAGCCATAATTACAGTTTATCTTTTTCTGAATTTGCATTGTTATTGTCTACCATGATATGCAAAAAAGGGGGAATTGAATCTTTTACAATTTCGAGAAAACATTAATAATATAGATTTTAATTTGTTCATCGAATTTTTTCGCTCATCCTGTGTCAATGACCTTCGTTTATCTTTTGTACAATCTTTTTATGCTTCACCTGTAATTTGGCTCACTTTTTACCGTTGTTCTGCAGTATTATTTGTTTGAGTCATTTTTTCCCTTGAGCATATGTAGATTGCTTGAATCTAATTATTTTGGTTGCAGATGGATTACATAAATACATCGCACCCAAATTTCATTGGTGGTCGTAAAGCTGTAGAGGTGGCACGACAGATGACCTCCAGGGTCGCTGCCCCAGTTGCTAGGCAGAAGGTAAAATTATTCTTTGTTGTAGTGATTGGTTTGCATCTCTGTGTTCCCATTAGAAATGGTTGAGTTAGAATAGGAGATTACAGAAATATTCTTATCTAGCTTATATCCTCATCTAGTTAGGAATTAATATTTTCTTTTACCTTTTTCTTCTATAGATTGGATTATATTTGTATAAATAACCCTTATATTGGATGAATAATATGAGAAGATTCAGCCTATATTTACAATATCCTTTCCCTAATTTTTTATTTGCATTTATCAACAAGGATGCAGGAGATTCAGAGAAATCACTGAACTCCGAAAGAACTGCAAAATCTCGTGGAAATCTTCCTGAGCAGGTAGGCTATTCACTAACATCACACATCTTGTTGAGTTGTTATGTTGTTCAATTTCCAAGAACATCTATTTGTGATTTCATTATTAGAAAGAATAATTGTTTTTATTGTTTTGTTGTCATGATTTGCATGGAAAAACAGGGTGTTCGACCTGTGGCAGATGCTGGGAAAACTGCCCCATCTGGTATTCTATTTTTTAGTGGAGAAGAATCATAATCTTTTTTAATCTTTAATCATGATACTGGGAAATATCAATTCTACCAAATGCTTAGCTTTTCATGATAGAAGAAGCGAGAACTTCTGCAGCTAATTTGTTATTAATGTGATTATTAACCTGATTACATAAAATGAAGTCAATAGTCAGCATATATTACTGGTTCTTCAGCAAATGCTTTATCTGGCATGGCCTTTTGTCCCACTTGTATTTGTGTACAAGTAGCTTACCATGTTATTCTTCGAATAACTGGTAGATAACTACTACTATGAAGTCTAATATTGGTACATACGGTTTAATCAGGAAACGGCACTTCTGCAACATGGAGAATATCATCAATTTTTGGTGGGTCTGATAATCGAACATCCGCTAAAGAAAATTCAAATATCAAGCCAGTTAGTGAACCTGTTCAGAGTATGGAGCATTCTGTTTCATTGATTCACTTGTGCGAGGTATAGACATGGGGTACTCTCCGTTATCTTTGGTTACTTATGTTTCAAGCTTGAAATCTGCCTTGCATATTTTCCTAAGCAGCTTTGTGTTGTTCTTGATGAAGCCCCCAATCGTCCTGAGGCCCTCAGAGACCAATGATCATGAGGCCATTGAGATTGCCATTACGAAGTTATTATTAAGGTCATATTATGACATTGTTCGGAAGAACATTGAGGATTCTGTACCTAAAGCAATTATGCATTTTCTGGTAATTGGCTATCAGTTTCATAAATTATGTCATTATGTTTTTCTGTTCCTTCAATAGTAAATGCCGTGAATTTTATTCTCAGGTTGCACACTTTTCAATAGTTCATTATGCAAGTCATATTAATGAAGAAGTTCTGCATTCACCGGACTATCGTGTTGAGTTTTTTAACATTTTTTTGTTGGACTTGTTAGTTGATTATATACTTTTGATTACTTATCTACATCTTGATCTCAAAGACCTTAAGAGTTATATAGCTTTGTCAGCCTTAATTTGTAAACAACCTCCCATACAACACATTGAACGGTTTAAGTTTGTGTAACTTTCATTCCAGCCTGTCTCCCCTTCATTTCTTTTGTGGGGGTATTTCTGCATGTAATATTTTCATTAATATTTCATGAATTTGCTATGATTTTTTCTAGTATGAAAGGAAAATTCTACACATGCTTACAATTCTGTATCCATGATTGATAAACTTCCCAGGTAAACCACATGAAACGAGAGCTCCACAATGTTTTCATCAAAAAGCTTTACAGGTATGCCCTGTTAAAGTATTTTATTATTTTGATGGGAGAACTAGCCAAATCCTTAAACCATGAAATTGAAACTCCCATCTTCCCAAGATGGAAAGAGATGAATAGGAAGAAATTCAAGTGGAAAACATGTGGCAGAAATAAACAAACTCGAGGAAAACAGTTTGTGGGCCTAGATGAAAGACTTCTCTCTTTTCTTTCTTTTCCTTTTAATCTGTTGTGGAAACCAAACAAAGGCAGAACTCCGGATAGAATGATATATGATGAGTTGACACTGTCTTGTAAACATGTAATTTCTTGAATATATTAACCATTTCTTTATTTCCTGATCGCTTGGAAGAGGACAAGAGAACCCTTCTTTTTCCCAATCCAAACATAATTTTAGAAAAGAAACACTAGGTTAAAGAGTTGGGTTATGGTTTTAACTTTTGCCAGGAAAAGTAGCTTTGCTGGATGGGGGTTCAGCATTTCGTTCCAATACGGTGTTTTATGTTCCATAACTGTCGTTACATTCTGGAAGGAGATTAATTATTTGGCTTGGTTTGAACAAGGGAACAGCTAGCTGGTTGTTTGCTAGAAATCTGTCATTTACATAAATAGTGATGCTTGTATGTTATTGTCAGAGAAAACCTTTTCGAAGAGATGTTACAGGAGCCTGATGAGGTATCCATGAAGAGAAAGCATACCCGAGAGAGACTTCGTGTTTTGCAGCAAGCTTTCCGGGTGAGTTGGTGATTCCTCCTTTAATAGAAGAGAAATGTTCTGGCTCTGCCATTTTTTCCTATATGTATGGGGTGAGTATACAAATGGCAGATATTTGCAGTCACATGATTATCTAGGTTCGAAGTTGGACGTGATTATTTTCTGTGAGAATCAACATGGTTGGTCATAGGTTTTTCTTCTTTTTTGTTGATTTCCCTCTAAGAATTTTCCTCCAGTGCATCTTTAATTATTCCAGTGTTTGACTCCATTTAATTTAACCGAAGATATGCAATACCATATGTTTAATTTGTCTAGAACATACAATCTGTTTAATCTTGAATCGTTCTGCAAAATTCTTTAAGCAAATGCTTCATATCTGGAAAGTTGTGGTTTCAGTGAACTAACTTCTATACTATGTAGACATTAGATGAATTACCACTTCAAGCTGAGACGGCAGAGAGTGGCTTAAATACAGACCCGACAGGCCTGCCAAAGATGAATGGACTTCCATCATCGTCTTCGTATTCTTCAACCATTAGTTCAAGCGAATCATATACTGCTTCTCCCAAAAATCCAAAGATCCGGAAGTCATCGCATTCTGGGGAGCTGAACTCGCCATTCTATTCTAAGCCAGATTCTAGCGGTGGTGGACGCAACTCAGTTCTGGGTCTTTATCCTACTGTTGATATTTACTGATTGGAAGAATGCATTCGACCAAGTTTGTCGAGAACACATGGATTTGATGACTCTCTATCCTGCTTTCTTTCAAGAGGTGGCTCCTACTCTTGGATCAGGTGCAATAGAGAGTTAGTATTCTAGTGACACGAGCTTTGTTTTTTGCATACCCACACGCATGCATATTTATATACAAATGTCAAAGTATTGCTTTTAGAAGCTCCAACAAATTTGGAGCCATTGCTATCTTTCTCGGATGATTTGGCTGTTGCCTTTTATTGTTCTTATAATAGTGTATATGTTTGAGAAATTGTGTAATTTTATCCAAGTATATTTTTCACAGCCAGAGCATTCATTATCAGCAAATTTGAACAATTCCTGAGTTGGGTTTAATTTGTTGTAAAATTTAATTTCTTCTAGGAGCATTTTTCAATTTTCCTAATCGATGCTTTATTCTTATTTAGATGTATTTCTAGTGGATTGAAAATGGAATTGGAATAAAGGGGTGAACAATAATTTTGATTGCTTTGATGGTCGAGTCCTTTGAACCTAAGAATGAATATGCTGGGAACACATGGATAAAAATTCTTCAAAATCTACGGTTTTATGATAATTTTTTTTTTTAGACTTCTTTTATATTTCAATCAAATCAAACGCTAGCTTTAGCCGGCTAATTTTTCAGATTAGAGGAGTGTCTATTTGTTGTACTAAACTTTTTAAACTTACATTAGTTTGTTAATTTTAAGGTGTGTTTGATTGTTAATATTTTTCATAAAAAATGTGTTTTTTTTTTCATATTTTTACTTTTGTGCTTTTTGATTGACTTTTTTCATGGAAAATATTTTTCTACTTTTGATTACGTGATCATATTTTCTTGAAAATTAAGAAAAATATTTTCCTTACGAGTAGGATTTTTTTTGTTTTGTTTTGTTTTGTTTTTTTTTTTTTAGGGAATTCAGTTTTTTTTCCCTCTTTCATTGATCCACTCTCTGTCACCTATCCATCAATGGAAACGGACAAATATAATATTTTTTAGATTGAAAATTAAATTAATTAGATACATTTAATTGACAATTTTTATGCAAATAATTTACATAGAATTTATATTGTTTTTATGCAAATTTCATGTTTGCAATGAAACATAATCTTATATTAAACAATTTACAAAATAAAGCTTTGTGTGTTGATGTTTTGTTCATATGGTCCTCATGTTTTAAAGTTACAAAGAATATGAAGAAAATAAGATACACCATTAGAAATATGATAAGTAATAAAAATATTAGTTTATCAAATATATTTGAATAATTTAACTTTTAAAAATAAATAAATTAATTAAAAAATTTAACAACTATATGGAGCACCACCTTGCCTTAATGGAGTAACGGGGCGGAAAAATGAACCCACATCGCCGTCCTCAAATGGAGCCAAAAAAATTAGCACCGATGGTTGACAGGGAGAGGCGGAATTCGCCGCCCCATCTCGGGGCACAAGGCACCTCGCCTTGAACTCATCTCGTAAAGAAAAAAAATTAAAATTAATTTTAGACAATTCACCCGTTAAAAACTCATTTTGAATTAGTATTTTATTCTTTAATAAAACATAACTCGAAGATTTGAAAATGTAAAAAAAAATAAAACGATATAAGCCATTGTCCTGCCCCGAACCCTTCCCACTGTCATCCCTAGGCCTACATGGGTTAAAAGAGTATCGATGTCACAAGCTCCTCAATTTTGAGTGAATTTGGACAATTTATAATTCAAATAATGTTCATTCTATGAACCTCGCCCTGACCCTGACCCACTGCCATTCCTAGGCCTACATGGGTTAAAAAAGTATCGATGTCACGATCCCCTCGATTTTGAGTGAATTTAGACCATTCATAATTCAAATAATGCTCATTCTATGATGGGTAGGAAAATAACTCTACTTCCCTCCCATCAACATAAAAAAATAAAAAATAAATAAAAAAATAAAATACATTTCATCAATTGTTGTGCAAATATGTACTCGTATTTCCCACAAAAAAAAATAAAAATAAAATATCACATTTCATCAACTATTGTACAGGTATGTACATGTTTTCCCCTCATTTTCACAATCAATGTACGCCTAATTTTGTTCGACAAACACTTTTTTTTCGGGCGGAAAAATGAACCCACATCGCTTCTTTGCCATCCCTATCCTCGACTATATTGAGTATTAAATAGAATATGAGTGACAAAAATAAAATTTTGGTGAAAAGGAAGGGGGCCATAGTGTAATTAGCCGTTTTACAGTTTCCTCATATCTCACTGTATAAAACGGAAAATTTGATCTTATCGCATCCAAAGAAGAAAATCAAACAGATCTAACAGTAATCATGAATGTAGAAGAAGAGGTAGAGCGACTCAAAGAAGAAATCAAACGACTCGGAAAACCCCAAGATGATGGCTCTTACAAGGTACAATTCTGTAAATTGTCTTTCACTCATCGCATTCAGCATATGATTACATAGATTATGTTCTCATATTTTCAATGCTTTAGAAAAAGAAATAAAGAATCAAATCAGCTTTGATTCGATCTAGGCCCGTGTCAATTTGATCCAGATGATGATATTATTTCCAAATTATTTACTACTTCTGGGTATGTTGTTTTTACTTTTGGGGATTTCTAATTTTGTGTTGTACTATTGATGTAAACAAAGGTGAGAGGAAGGAGAGCTAGACTGCACTTCATTAGTTATTGGTTTCAACTAGATAGAAGTTTTCAATATTGTATGATATGTACATTTTTGTTTTTTTGTTCAAAAATCTTGAATTGATCTTGGTCACAAACTACTTCATTTAATTCGTAAGATAGAGGATACAGTTAGCATTCTTATGGTTGAATAAACTATACTAGAGGTATTGAGGGGAATATAAGCAAAAACCCTGGCTCTTTTATTCTCTGATCACGTCAAATATTGTGTATCAAACATGCCCGTATTGTATTTCTCGTTTGTATGCACCTTAGATTATCAATGACTGTGTACGTGGTTTCTGCTTTTGTTGTTGATGGTTTTGTACGATGGAGTTAATGATGTGGAGATTAGTATAAATACATGGAGGAATAGTGCTTTTTGGTGTAAAGATGCCTATCTGGTAATGATGATTTCTTCTTGTGTTCAGACAAAATAAAAAGGAGAAGGAAATTTTGAAAATATTGGTTGATTTGAATTATTACATATCTAGAGAAGGTGTTACCATGTTGATGTCTCTTGGAAGCAGAGGTTACTTGAACTAAGGGAAAGGCATTCCTGCCTTTATTACTTATTTACGTTTATTTCTATTATCTGACTAGTATTTGAGCTAGTAAAAGTATTTCTTGGAGAATCGAATGTTTTAAAATGGATCACAACAAAGGCATACACTGAATGAACTGATATTGAGTGATATCAAATGTTGGTTTCATAGTGTGGAGATTCTTAATAGATCATTGTTGCTTAGGATGGAGAGTCGAATGTACAGAGAGTTTACTAATTGAGAAATACGTTATTGGCTCGTTGGTAAGGTGTATTATATATTAGAGGACAGTATTAAGGAAGACAAAGAAGCTAACATATTATATATTGTACTCAACATTCTTGTCTGGTACTTTTTACCATAACATGCACTAAATGAATAATTTGGTCATCTCCAGTATTAAGGTGTATTGTTCAGCGGCGTTGTTTCTTGAAAACCTATTTTGGCATGACGAGATATAGGACAGCACAAGGGTAGAGAAGATGCATCATGCAATATAATGCGATACAATTTTCATAAATGATGGCTTCCAACTTGCTTTACATGTAAATGGCTGTAACTGTCTTCTTTCTTTTTTAACTGAACCTTATTGCTTTAAAAACAAATTATAATATAATTACTTGAAATTTGGCCTATTACGCTATAAATGGATGATGAATAAAATTCATATAATGAATGTTTGATCATGATCATTGAGTAATGTTCTACGAGAAGTATGGTTCTTACAATGGTTATAACTAATAATTTTGTGATTCATTTGTCAGTAACTATAGAATCCTACAACCTAATGACTTGATTATTATCAACTGTGCACCATTTTATTAGTCTTTGCTACATGAAATCTTCCATCTTCTTACATGAAGATGCACAAATTCTTTTATTTTTCTTAATTAGAGAAATTTAAACGTATAGAGTTGATATCACCTCTGCTCTGTTTTTGATTTGAAGGTTACATTCGGCGTGCTGTTTAACGATGACAGATGTGCAAACATCTTTGAAGCACTGGTTGGAACATTGCGTGCAGCAAAAAGGCGTAAAGTCTTGACATACGACGGGGAACTTCTGTTACAAGGAGTTCATGACAATGTTGAAATTATTCTCAAACCCACACCAGAAGCAGCATCAAGTGATGCAGTTGCAAAGAGCTGATGATTTTCCAGAGTTGGGTTTTGAAAAAGCTTGTTTTACACATTTGAGTTATTATACAACGCAAGTGTTCAAACTATCTGGTTTTGGGAAGATCTGTTTGCATTGTCTCGTATGTATGTCTTAACTTTTGTTGTGAACATGCCCCTGTTGTTAAATGTTTTGAGCTTGAGTTTTTCTTTTTATTTTCTTGAAACAGACTACAGAGTACATAAAACCACCACTAAGCAAATCATCATTGTACAACTAGAGCCGATATTTATGAAATTAATAAGAAATTCTTGCCATAGTAACACGTAAGCGTTCCGAGACCCTACGTCTTGCTAAATGAAAACTTTAAAGCTTGTTTAGAAGTGAAGTGAACTGCACAATACTCGACTATCTAATATAACTGTGCATGCCAAAAATGCCCTTAAAGCTCATAATCATCACTACATTTCTTCATATTAGTAATTGCGAAAGTGTATATGAATAATCAAGGTATGAGGAAATATGTACTAGTCAAGCAGAAGATATATACACTGCGGAAGAAATGAAAATCCCTCGTATAATAGTGAAGGGCAGCTTCAATATTTGCTGCTAGACCAGCATACAAGGAAAGCCAAAAACCATTACATCTTAAACCTTCAGTGGTTATTTTCATCGATTACATGTTCTGCTCGCTATAGTGTGAAATGGAGTTACAAAAGCTGCGATTTTTCGGCTACTTGACTGCTCTTCACCCAGGACTTACCACCTAAAGTGCAAAAGCAATCAGAGGGCATCAATATGACTATCTGAATAAGCTGTTTGTGTATTCAGACTGAATACGAAAACCCCAAATGATTACAGGTGAAACTAAAATTAGTTGGGAGATTTCTTTTTCAATTGGGATCATATGATGGTTTGTGATAGCGAGCAAAATTCCATTTATATAATGCTTATACCTAAAACCAACCAAATATAAATTCAAAAAATACGATAGCACTAGGGTTCCACAACAGTCTTAATCTAATACCAAAGAAGCCAATCTGAGACTCACTATGTACAACACTTGGTGAACCTATCATTTCCATAGTTCGGTTGAGACAGAGAGCAAACCTACTGCCTAGCAATTCCATTTGAAGTTCCTCTTAAACGGGTTCAATTTGGCGTGAAACATATTCATGCGATGATTGGCCAGTAGGAGTAAATTATAGTTATTGAAAGTTACACTTGATTTGCTTTTCAGAGACTGCAACACATCATTTGCCTACCCAATTGGTCGCCAAAACTCCAGCTCAATGATATCATACTTGTATACATGGCCATGAAATGCAGCAAAAAGTAACAGTTCCAGATATTGCAAAACATCCACCACGGAAGACAATGGAATGACAATTATTTCAGTAGTAAAAGAGAACTCACCTAACCAGAAGTGGGCAGAGAATAACAATCTCGAACTTATGGCCAAAGGAACTCAATTCTGCAATCTTAACCGATTGAAAAACACCAAGAAATGATATTCAGGGGCCCAATAAACAAAGCCAACAACTGGTCCTCCTTTGATGTACTGCACATGTTGTTTTTAAGATAAAAATAGAAAATCAGAAACAGGCTATTTAGAATACCCTAAGCAATCGAAACCATGCAAAAATAACTGTCAAGTAGTTAAGAGAAATATAAACCTTTCCATCCAGGATAACAAGTTCACCATCAACCCATCGAGGATTACCAAATCCAGGCTCAGCCAGCCTCCCCTGTCCCCTATATCGAGCAACCTGCATTGCAAATACAACTTAGAAAGGAAGGATGATATGGAAACTGAATGAAATAGATATTAAGATTAGTTGAACTGAATGATTAAGCAACATACCACCCCAAATTCTTCTGGAATAATCCCTTTATGAGGAAGCTGATATCTCTTGCCAACTTTTGCACGGAATGCTATCTGAAATTATGACAAATTTTAAATAAAACATTAATACCAAAAAAAAAAAAAAGGTGAGCATACTTTCGAGATGTAACATTATTCACATCCCCAAACCCAGCCAAATGTATAAATAATTGAAGAACAGGAAACACCTAATGGTACGAACCTAGTTTTGCCCTTATACACTTATACATACATAGCAAGACAGTTTGAAAACATGGAACTTTATGAAAGTTGATGCAGCACTAAGGAAGTATGAGAATAAGAGGGAAAATAGTAGAAAAAGAAGGAAAAAGCGGGGGATATGAAAGAAACCTTTCTTTTCTTTTTCTATTAAGGGGCTAGATTCTTGAGGGGAATAAAAATTCAATCCAACAAACTCATCTAAAAGATCAAATGTCCAATCCATATAACCAAACATACTACTTTAAACAAAGCCCCTATTGAATTAGCTATAAAGACGTATAATTAAAAAAGATAGATGATACTGGCCTGTACATCTTGACTAAATACTTGGAACATTTCAACGAAATAAACATTATTATACTATAGATGATTTAGTAAATCAATATGTCAACTTCTTCGATCCACCTCATTCACAGTGGGATAAAATAAAAAAATATCCCTGCGGTGGCAAATAATGGCAATTGGATGTCTTATTTATGGATGAGAACCAGTGACATGTGAATAGAGTATCCAAGGTTACATAAGCATTCTTTCTGAATGTATGGTGAAATTAATATTAAACAAGGATTATCATGTCATCATGTAGCTAAAAATGTTTATAGTGTAGTCAAGCTTCTCTCCAACAGGCTCTAGTTAAGACAGTCACTAACTGGAAGCAAGGCTGATAACTAAAATAATCCACTCCATGTGTACCAACTGAAATTGAAAATGCTCCAGGCATCAATTGAATACGTCCAATTTACATCTTCCAGTGAGCATAAAAGGCAAAAACATTGACTTTGAGAAGAGTAGAGTCATAAATACTATTTTAGGTGCTTTCCTTTCAGTTTCCTGCCTTGGTAATTTGAAACTTTATTTAACAGCAAAACAATAATTTAGAAAATTGGCCACTTAAAAGTTGTCTCTAGAAAACACTGAATACCATTTACACAGTTTTTCTGCTAATAAAATCCAAAAGAAGCAATGTGTGGACTTCTCTGTTCTGACTCCATGACTTCCAAGATTATATATATCCCATTTATTTGGCTAAAATTTTAATGCTCCAAGCCCATTCAGGAAAATCAATTCTTCAGCTTATCCTAATTTCTGTTTATCAAGATCTACATATAAATAACTTCAGCATATTTAAAAGATTTGAATCATAAATTACCTGGCCAGCTGGTACATAAGGATCTCCAGTTAATTTCACAGCTTCAACGTACTCATAGAACTCTACTTTTGATGGCTTCTTTGAGTTATCATCATCTTTCCATTGACCAAATTGGCGTCTAAGATGAATAACTTCTGAAGTGTAAAGCCCATGTGCACCAATATAGAGTCCTAGTAAAATAAGAATTTATAAATAAATAGACAGTAAGTAGAAAAATAAACAATATAATGAAAACAGCGCAAGCAAGTGCAGAACAACAGCACATAATCAAGAGTAGAACAGTCAGAGTAAGAAGACACAAAAATGAAAATACAATCACCATTCAGTGGGTCTGGAGATGCTGAAAACTCAATGCGGTTAAATGTGGTTGACCCAGAAAGTGGCTGACGATTTCGAGATTGACTGATAGTGAGATTTATTAATTCACCAACATCTTTAAGCACCTGCAGAATTGAGGTGTACAACTATGATTTGAAAGGACTATGATTACAGTAAATTGAATACAATTATACAAAAAATCAACCTTACCTTCATGGGTATCTTTCCCTTGCTGATGGACTTGACAAGATCAAGCATAACAAGGTCCATGCTACGTTGACCTTGAAGCTTGGCATTTTTATTCAATGGAGACTGCCCATCACCGCAAGAGATATGTTTATCATCATCTTCCTCAACAGTAAAAGTAAATGACAAGCGACCTTTTTTCCGCAGCCTGGCAGGTACCCGAACTAAGTCTTTATGGTGTGCACCACTGGAAAATTTCTGTATGAGACCCTCACCCACAACCACCTTAACTGAAATTTGACTTTGCTCTTCACCATCACTAATTCCATGACCAGCGTCAATGTCAATCTCGTTTTGCTCATCATCAGTTTCACCTTTGATTTCATCTTCAGCTTCGACATTTTCTAAATCAAAGTCCTTTTCTTCCTCTTCTTCATCTATTATCTGTTCAATCGCCTTTGATATTAGATCCCTGTCCACTTTTATTGGAGTTGTTACTTGCACGACCTTGACTTTCACCCCAGGAATCATGTCCCGCAAGACATTCTCAAAACCAGAATCATCATCACTGTCATCACCATCTTCTGTGTTTTTAGTATTTTTATCTAACAGCCCATTTTTGTTTTCAGTTGCATTTAGAGAGTCCATGTTACTGGTAACTCCTGATGACATAAAAGATGGAATTGAGAGATTCTGCTGAGCTCCTCTCCGTTTTAAGTAAACAGCCTAAAAATACACCAAATATTCAGATGTTTCATTTAAGAAATCAACCATTATACATGACGAAGTCTGTAAGTAATGGGGTCATACATGCTTCTTGATATATCAGAAAAAGTATTTTGATGCTCGTAAGTCCATGTAATGCCAAATGGGAAAATGGTATAAACCATAAAAAAAACATCATTTTACAATAGTGGACTTATATCCTACCAGGCACAGTAGCACATAGAGAATTTCTTGATGAACAGTAAGTGCTTGTGTGAAAGTGAGTATTTAAGAGTGCTTATTTCTGAGAATGTGAGGTTAAAAAGTAAGCAAAAGTTATGAGGATGTTTGAATTCCCCCCCCCCCTCCCCCCGGCCCGGGAGAGATGGGGTTGAAAATGAGCGTGGGGTAAAAGTGATTTTCAAATAATCAATTTCAAACACAGCTGTCATTAACCAGGAAAGCATACAAGTCCTTCGAGCACCACTTTGTCTACAAGTGCACATTATCAAACAATTATTCCTCCTGAACATACATATCCTCGCATGTCCATTTTGATTAATACTTCTTAATGAGGTTTTTATCTTATTTATTTCTAATTGACACTAAAACATATACTCAAAGATATAGAGTCCTTATGTGCTCAAGTGATGATGGTAAACTGTGCTCTACAAGGTTTAGGTCAGTGGGCATGGTTTCTTTCCTTTCCTTTTCTTTTCCCCCCTTTTTTGTGGTTTGGTTGGGCAGTGGGGTTCACCTTGCAATTTTAAAATGCAAAATCCTGCTAAAAGCAGAGAATGTCTTCCCTTCTATTCATGAAATGGTTTTTCATCCAATAAAATAAGGAATTAAGCTGAAGTAGACTTCAGAGAGTAAAGAATAGTACCTGCTGCTTATACTCTCCTTTATTATTTCTTGTAAGAAATATCTCAAACAGAGGGGCACCATCTGATGCTGTGGCAAGCTGCCTGCCAATAAAGCAGGTCATTAAGCTACTAATGAATCTTAAGAGTTACTAAAAGCATTGAAACTTACAGTAGACAGAAAGGAATCCAAATCCTTCTATGAAATGATTGAAAACTCCACGTTTGGCCTTTATTTCAAACCATTCACAGTTGTCAAATTCATACGAGTATGAATCACGATATATATAGATTCAATCTACTGCTCAAGATACATAGATGTAAGGATGGCAATAATGATCTATGTATAAAGTCTCATAAATCTGATATACGGAAAAATGAAATCCCTGTAATCAATATAACAAGCCTAAAGTCCCCTGATGCCATAACAGAGCCCACTGGGAAAACAATGTTAAGTTAAAAATAGCAGCCAAAAATTGTCAAGTTCCCAAATTCCAGAGTGCATAGGAAAATAAAGAAAAGAGGATTGCAATGCAAAAGACTAATATTACTACCTAAGAAAGTCATACAAACCCAAAGAAAAAGGAAAAAGAAAAAAAAAAAAAAAGAAGGAATAAGAGGATGTTTACAGGAATTAGGGATATCTACAAACTAGTTACTAGTATAATCTCCTTATACGAACAATTATCAATGTGACACCAATGATCTAATGTCAAATTATAGCAATTCATTTGTGTAGAAATTTTGTTTTATTATAGAATCTTTCCACATTGATCACAATGGTAACATATTGATCCAAAGAACAGCAAACTCAAACCTAAAACTTTCAACAGTACGAGTTACTTTACCTAGGACTATAACTTTTGGCTACATATCGCCCATGCTCCGCACTGATATGAATAATACGACCATAAGGGTCATTACTGTCTTCTGAAATTCCAGACCACCATCCAACCTGAAATACCAAGTTCAGATAACAAATAATTAAATTCCAGACATATATAATATGCTACAATATAATTATAGCATGCAACAGATTTTGAAGCATATCTGCTGGCCACCTCTTGTGTTTATTTTTCAATGTCATCTCTAATTTTACTTGGTTTCTTTTTTTGGATAAGCACGGGGAGACAGCACATGAAGCTTGAGTGCAAATACTTCACATAGAGACTATGTCTATAAAAGAATTCATTATTGTAATTTAATTATTAATAAAATCACATCAAAGGCCAAAATGCTACTGCAAGATCCAAAAAAGGTTTTCAGAGAGGAACTCAAATCAAAGTGCATAATGAATATTACCATGCGTCCTATAATAAGATGGCTTATATCTGACAATTAAAACTATGTGCATTGACAAGAAGCATCTACATAAGATTAACATAAATTCAAGTCCTAGTCACTTGTTAGTATTCACGAAGATATGTGAACGGCTAGGTGAGTACATAAGCATTGTCCTAAAATGTATGACTGACTCACCAATCCAGCACCAGCATAATCACGTACAAGAGCTGCATCGCCATAACGTTCTTCCTGAACAGCTTTCTGCACTTCAGTTCCAAAATGGTAAGCATATTAAAGGATACAAAAAGAACATAAAAAGACAAAAACAAAATAAACAAGATAGATACTTGAACTTTATTATAAACGACCACAGATAACTCCCACCTTCAGATGGGACATTACTCTCCCAACAGTGTCATTTGTTGCTGCAGCTGCAATTGCCACCTTAAGCCTAGCAGCATCTCCATAATCCTCTCTATCAATAGCATGAGCCAACTGTGACTGTTAAGACAAACCATGTTACTTCTGTAATCAGTAAAAGGATAAAAACTAGCATTTTATAAACAACATTTGATTTGATCAAAGGGAACAGCTTTACTCAGATCCAATTATTTGTTTGCGCATGAAGCACTACAGCAAATATCAGCATGAGGTTTAAAATTCTAAAGAAAAATCTCTAGTGTAATTTCGGATTATAGGGCACAAAGGGATTTCTAATAAAATAGAAGTGTCTTATTGTACAATGCAAAACCTCTGGCTCTCAAAAAAAAAAAAAAAAANTAAGGTGTTGAGAGTCTTGTTTGTTTCGCTTGGTCACGTTACAAGTGTTGTATCACGTCCGACGTGGATAAAACATGATATCCGAACATTTGGAGCATGTAGTTCTTCCAAATTATATTCTTGATTTGCATCAGCTTGAAGTTTTAGGCAAGAGTTGAAAACTGGGGGCACTTGTTCTAACTTTTCATTTCATTGGTAAAACTAATGCTTGATATCCTTTTGAGGGCACATTTTGAGTCGATCTCCTTACCTTTAGTTTTAAAAAATGATAGTTCTCAAAGTTTATTTTCTTACCATACAAGTTTCATCTGAAAATCCACTTGCCCATGAAAGCCAATCTAATCGTTCAACTCCATTAAGAGGGAGTATCTATGTCTGTAAGAAGCTATTATTTGCGGATATACAAAAATAAGAAAAATTTAAATTTTGGACGACTGGATATTATATTGGTATTCATTTCCATAATTACTGTTTTTTTTAAAAGATCAACAAATTTCCCAGAGAGATGATAAAGTATAGTCAAAAAAATTTATTGGGATAAATGAATTTCATATTCTCACAAGAACTCACCCATCTCTATGGTTCCTTGGAACAGATTATGATTGTGAAGTGAAACATTCTGAGTCATGACTAATAACGTATTTATCTCATTGTCAAGTGAAATTATGCTCTCGGTTAAATTTGAAACAACTCTTCCTAGAAGAATCATTTTTTTTGGCCTTTCTTCGTGAAAAAGATATGTAACATATCCTCTTCAGTTCAATTGAACACAGCCAGTAGCTAACAAAATAATAATAAGTAGATTTGGAGTCCATACATGATGTGTGGACATATCATTGAGATGACAGTGTGAGACTGACACTAAATTTACAGCGGACAGAGTGACACCTAAACCCTAAATAACGAGGTTGAGCCATTTCAGGTAGGCTCATAGGGCCAATCAACCAAACTGATGTGAACAACACAATGTAACTCTCACTTCAAGATTTCGCACTATAACTCAGTTTATATTATCCCCACTTGTAAAAATAATATATTAAATTGTCAACCATCCTGATGTGAGCAACAGGATGTAACGCTTGTTTCAAGATTTCTCTCTATAACTCAGTTTATATTATCCATACTTATGATAATAAATAAACTATTTCTATGATTGCTTACAAGCATTCTGCTTACCCAAGTAATGAAAAACAATATTTCTTTCACCAATCCTATGAACTGGTCT